GATGAAATCAGATAGGGATGAAATTGTTTAGGGATGAACGAGTTTAAGAGTTTTAAGAGTTTAAGAGTTTTTAAGAGTTTTAGCCAAATGTTTTATAATATAGTATAGATAATATAATTTTTTATAAAGATAATGACTAAGTATTCTGTTAGAACTCAATGATTATCCTAATTATATTTTAGATTTTTTATATTTAAAATGAGATGTTTATCCAATATTTGATTATGTTTATCTGCAGTTAGTTACACAAATTCATATATGGAGCTTTAATAAGTTGTACTTATGCAAAGTTTACTTGTAATCTTAAATTTTAAGTAATATGCATCAATAAACAATACTTCATGCATAAAAAATGGTTTTTAAGAGTTTTTGTCGAATGCTTTATAGTATAGTATAGATTATAAGAATTGTGAATTTCGTTCTTAAATTATTTTTAACAAAACCTGATTAATTTTTTTAATAAATAGAATTTTGTTTTAGAATTTAAATATATATATATATATATATATATATATATATGTAGCATGTTTTTTTAAGTTATGTTTAATACCCACTATGGTAATCTATCTTCTTATAATTTCAATAAGGTATTTTAGACATTTAATTAATATTAAATCTTTTTTGTACACAACTATTTGGAGTGAAAATTGAATAGACATTTAAATTTTTTTTAGATGAAGAAAATTATATACATGTGTGTGTGCACGTGTGTATATATAGAATAAGTAGTCTAAATTTTTGTTAAATTGAAGTTCAATAAGTAATTAAGAAGTTCATATTAAAAACTTATATGTAAAATACATGTCAATTTTTCCAAATATATAGTCAAAGGAAAAATTATTTTACATTTCATATATACTATAAGCATATCATTTATGTTGTGTATGATGATCTAAAAGAGATTTAATTTCCTTCACCTCTTCCTCTTCCTCTTCATCTTAAAAAAAAATTATTTCTACCTTCCTATGATATCTTTCATCTTTTTCAAATAGACGCCATCGGCTTCTTAGGTACATTTGTGGTCGTGCTTAATTTCCCAACCTTCCCTTCCTCTTTTTGTTGGTCACAGATTATGAGTATCAACCTTTAAAGTGATTTAGCTAAAAGGTGGCAATTTGTTAATTGTTGTCCTTTATTATAAAAGAACTTGATTTACTCTTCCTTAACCTTCTTCTTTTCTCTTTCTTTACATGCAGGGCATGTGCCATCTTTTGACAAATATAAAGACATATTGTAAAGAAGCCTTCTCATGTCCTCCATATGAAATGTCTCATTTGGATGATCCTACTAATGATCTAGAGGCACCAGTAGAATATGAAAACATGGATTTGGAGAACTTTGTACTTCAAAACTTTACAGAAGAACTTGAATCAAGAAAAAGGTCCACTGAAAGGGTCCCTTTTCATAATCATTCATCAAAAGCACTGTCTAGTTTAATCGAAGGTACGAGATTCTGATCATATAGTACCTTTGTGAATGGTGACATTGTATGTTTGGAGATATATAATGGGTGCTCAGAGAATGCTTGAAATCTGCTTTTCTCCAGCATCCAATCATTGATTCAATTTGCATGACAAGCTTATCAATTTGGGGGGGGATTGTGCTTATCAGAGTGCTCATTCTGAAATATGATCCCATACCTAGATTGATGCTTGTAGTTTTTAAATTATTTTGGAATGCTGAAATATGGTTTATTTGTGTTTTTCTTGATTGAAAAGGATCTTCTAAACTAAGTCTATTTGTTTTGGCTTCTTAGTATTGGTTTATGTTAGCTGAAAACTTGGATGTGAAGGTAGGCTGCATATATGCATTAGGCTAGTTGATAAACAAACCTGTTGTATCACTCCAGTGATCAACATATGCTTCATGTCCTAGATGATCTCCATAGTTTAAATGTATGTATGGACTGAGAACCTCAAAGCAAGAAACACTCTGTAAATGCAGATATTATGGTTTCACCAGGCCAAAAAGGCAAACACAATCACAGGAGTGCAGAAAGTAGCCAATATATGAGCTCCCCCACCTCTGCATTACCAAATGCTGAACCTTCTGATGTGATTCTTCAACGGACAAACTGGCAGATACAAGGATACTTGTCAGAGCAAGCAGACATGATTGAAAAGTAAGCTATTTCATAGATTTTATTTGACTTATATTGTATCTCAGTTTGTCAGGATACATTACTAGAGATACCTCACAGTATCTTGATTTGTGAACTATTGTTCATAGGCTTGGAAGCTCCTTTCCTATGAGTGCATTTGAATCTGTTTTAAAGCTTCTTCAGAAAGTGGCCCCAGAGTTGCATCGTGTATGATACTTTGTAATCTGTATCCATTTCGTTAAGTCTGTACATGCTTTCTGTAAGATAATCTTCAATCATTATTTTATTTTAATGTTTACAGGTTCACTTTTTGCGTTATCTGAATAGCCTTTATCACGATGATTACCCAGCTGCCTTGGAGAATCTTCATCGTTATTTTGATTATAGGTATTCTCCCTCTTCTTTTAGTTCTTGGTTTTAGGTTGTTTCCTAAAATGTCAAATACAATGGTAACCTAGATATAACTCTTAATTTACCTTGGACCATGGTCAGTCATTATAAGATTTGAAGTGTTAGGTATCTTTTTTGATTGAACACAAGTTGGCTTAAATGGAAGCTAGGTTCCCATATTCTAGGCATTTCAATGTCTAACTTGTACTATTTAATCGATGATTAGAGGTTTAAACTTCATTTATATCGGCATAGCAACAGTTTTATCATTGAGATAATTGACAAAGGGCTTAAGTTGTGTTCAAGTACAAGCTCAGCTGCCAGCAGATTATTGACAAAAGATGCTAAAGCTAGATGTAGAAATATCCAGTATCCTTAGAGATACTTGATATCATTGTAAAATAGGAATTGGAGATTATGGGTAATATCTCCTTGTAATTAGTTGTTGTGAATATCTTAGGAATCCTTTCCTTTTCTTCTCATATTCTTTGTGTATATATAGCCTTTGTACCTCCCTATTTTTAGACAAGTGAAATAAAGAATTTCGCATGGTATCAGAGCATCTCTGATCCAGACCACTCCTCTTGCTGCTGTGTTTCAATCACAACAGTGATTAAGCAACAACGGTAAGCTCCAAAGTCCCCTTGCTATCGTTGTCCTCTCCCCTTTCTCAATATCATTATGACTGGCATAGAATCCTCTTCCCAGACCCACTCAGAAGTCATCTCCAGTTCAAAGACTTCTCATCCAAATCCTCTAGGAAACTCTCAGAGTTTCCTTCCAGTTACTGGTCATAAACTAAATGGTCATAATTTCCTTCAATGGTCTCAATCGGTCATGCTATACATACGTGGTCGAGTAAAAGAAGATCACCTCATAGGGGCTGTTCCTGCTCCTAAATCTGATGAGCCCAGTTTCAAGAACTGGAAATCAGAAAACAGCATTGTGATGGCATGGCTGATTAACTCTATGACCCTAGAAATAGGTGAAAGTTTTTTTTCTCTCCTTTACGGCTCAAGAAATATGGGAGGCTGCCCGAGACATGTATTCCAGTAACGACAACACTGCAGAATTGTTTGCCATCGAAAGCACACTCCTAATCAAGGAGAGTTATCTGTTACTGCCTATTACAACTTACTAGGCATTGGCAGCAACTAGATTTTTATGAAGTTCATGAATGGAAGTGCCCTACAGATCAAAGCTACAATTCAGAAAATGGTAGAGATAAGAAGAATATTCAAGTTCCTTATGGGACTCAGCGAGGACTTGGATGAAGTCCGCGGACGAATTCTAGGAATCAAACCACTACCCCCAATTAGGGAAGTGTTTTCGGAGGTCAGAAGTGAAGGAAGCCGTAAAAAAGTCATGATGGGGACAGTCCCTTCAACCTTACAAGTTGATCGACCTGCCCTTGCTGCACGAGGATCCTCATACCAGCACTCAAGTTCACATTCAGGAGGGAATCACTCATCATCGAATGAAAGCAGGCACAAAAGTGGAAGGCCGTGGTGTGACCACTGCAACAAACCCGACCATGTCCGGGATAAATGTTGGAGAATACATGGAAAGCCAGCTGATTGGAAGACTAAACGAGCAACTAATGGCATTGAAAGTCGTGGAAACCTTGTGTTTGCAACTAATCCTCCTCAGGCCGAGACTTTTCCATTCAACAAAGAACAACTGGAGATGCTTCAAAAGATGTTTGGCTCAGTCCAACAACCAGCACGTATCCAAACAACAAGTATGGCATCCTCTCTAATCTCTTTCACCCCAAGCTCGGGAAATGTTGCTCAAACAGGTATTCAATCAACAGCCTTTACTATCTTAAATGAATCATCTCAATCCTGGATAGTGGATTTCAATGCATCAGATCACATGATTGGAAACCCACAGTTGTTTGATGATTTGAAACCGTGCTCCTCACATTTATTCGTCCGAATTGCCAATGGAAGCTGCTCCAAAGTAACAGGCCTCAGATCTATTAAAGTGTCATCGAATATCACTCTCAAATTTGTCCTCTATGTTTCCAATCTCAATTGCAATTTATTATTCCTCAGTAAACTTGCTTTGGATAGCAATTGCGTCACTAATTTTCATACCAATGGTTGTGTTTTCAGGATTTGGACTCCGGGAGGATGATTGACAATGATGAGATTAGTGCATGTCTGTACCAACTTAAAACGCAACTTGATCCAAGTCACTCTGCCAACCATACCCACCTTGCACCAACGAATAACTCAACCATCGTGTAGGTCATCCTAATTTTGGTTATTTGTCTCGACTATATCCATCATTATTCATAAGTAAAAATCATTGGTTATTTCAGTATGATATTTGTCAATTCTCAAAACACTCCCGTAAAATCTATCCACCTAAATTACACAAACCATCTCACCCTTTCTCTCTGATACATAGTGACATATGGGGAAAAACGAGAGTAAGTAATGTAACAGGAGCTAGGTGGTTCCTACTGTTTGTGGATGATCATACTCGTCTCTCTTGGGTATTTCTCATGAAGGAAAAATCAGAAACCAAAAGCCTTTTCATCAAATTTCATACGATGATAAAAACCCAATTCCACACAAATATCCAAGTTCTAAAGACTGACAATGCCTCAGATTACTTCAACAATGTCCTTGGCAACTACCTCCAAGGGATTGTACATCAAAGCTCATGTGTTGATACCCCTCAAGAAAATGGGGTTGCCGAGCGGAAAAATAGACACTTACTTGAAATTGCTCGTTCCCTTCTCTTTACCTCTAATGTCCCCAAACACTTTTGGGGAGATGCTATTCTCACTTCTACCTATCTCATAAACCGAATGCCATCTCAAGTCCTGAAATTCAAAACCCCATGGCAAGTCCTTCTATAGTCATTTCCTAACACTCATCTCCTTTCAGACATTCCTCCTAATTTTTTTGGGTGTACAGCCTTTGTCCATATTCATCCACATCAAAGAAGCAAACTTGACACCAAAGCTTCAAAATGCATTTTTGTCGGTTATTCTCCAAACCAAAAAGGGTATAAATGTTACTCCCCTTCTGAACAAAAGTTTTTCTCCTCCATGGATGTCACATTCTACGAAAATAAACCGTACTTCACAGATGTTCAGGGGGGAATATGATTGAACATCCTCTCACAAACGAAGGTACTCACACCGAGCCAATCCAATCCCTTCCTCCAATCTCTTCCAAAACCATAGAAGATCAAACTCTCTTCCTGCATGTGCTAGAAACTAAACCAGTCCAAACTAACCTCACCCATCTTTCAACCGATCATTCAACCAATTCTACGACACCAATAGAAAATAGACACCTCAACCCTCAAAAGGAAACCCTAGTCTACACCAGGAAAAGGAAGCAGGACAAGGAAGTACAGGCCATACAATCTGAGCAGTGCCACGAGTCTCAACTAATTCCAACTCCTGAATCTCAAGGTATGCGCCCTAGTGAGCCTACTAATGCTGATAATCTAGATCTTCCTATTGCTTTAAGAAATGGGGTTCAGACCTGTAGTTCACATCTAATAAAGAATTTTGTATCTTACAAGGGATTATCACCCAGTTATCGTACCTTTGTGTCAAGATTGGATGAAACTCAAGTCCCAACTCCATTCACGAAGCCTTACAAAACCCAACATGGAAGGACGCAACATTTGAAGAAATCAAGGCGTTGGAGAAGAATCAGACATGGGAGATTATAGACCTTCCACCAGGAAAGATGACGGTAGGCTACAAATGGATCTTCTCAGTGAAGTACAAATCTGATGGGACAATTAAGAGATAGAAGGCATGATTGGAAGCTAAAGGGTTTACTCAATCATATGGGATAGACTACCAAGAAACATTTGCTCCAGTTGCCAAGCTTAACACCATCATAATCTTGTTATCTGTCACTGCAAACCTAGATTGGCTACTGCACCAACTCAATGTAAAAAACGCTTTTCTCAATGGCGATCTTGAAGAAGTTTTCATGGACATTCCACCCGGATTCAACTCACAGGCAAATCAAGGCAAGGTATGCAAACTCAAAAAGTCACTCTATGGCCTAAAACAGTCCCACGGGCTTGGTTCGATAGTTTCTCTAAAGTTCTCAAAAGAACAGGATACACTCAATGCCAAGCGGACCACACACTCTTCATTAAGCACCTTTGATCGAAAGGTAACTGCTCTTATTGTCTATGTTGATGATATAGTTCTGACCGACAATGATCACATAGAAATTGGCCGTCTCAAAACCCTTTTGTCAAAATAATTTGAGATTGAAGATCTTGGAAATTTGAAGTATTTCCTTGGAATGGAAGTTGCTAGATCAAGAAAAGAATCTTTATCTCTCAAAGGAAGTATGTCCTAGATCTCCTGAAAGAAACATGCATGCTTGGATGTAAACCCGCCGACACGCCAATGGATCCATACAACAAGGTGGGATCCAAGCAAGACAATATTTCAGTAGACAAAGGAAGGTACCAAAGGTTAGTGGGAAAACTAATCTACCTTTCACACACAAGACCTGATATAGGGTTTCTAATAAGTTTTGTAAGCCAGTTTATGAACAATCCCACAGATGAACACATGGAGGCGGCATATCGAATTCTGAGGTATCTCAAAGGGACATCGAGAAAAGGAATTGCTTTTATCAAAGGTTCAAATAGAGGTATAAAAGTATTCACTGATGCAGACTGGGGCGGGTCTCATTGATTGGGGGTCTACTTCAGGCTATTGTACTTTTGTATGGGGTAATCTTGTCACATCGAGAAGTAAGAAACAATCAGTTGTTGCAAGAAGTAGTGAGAAGTCGAATATAAGGCAATGGCACGCGGAATATGTGAAGGGATGTGGCTTAGAGACTTCTCGATGAACTCAAAGTTGAAACTACGGAGTCAATCAAACTCTCATGTGACAATAAGGCAACTATAAGAATTGCAAAGAATCCGGTCCACCATGATTGTACAAAGCATATTGAGATTGATCGACATTTCATAAGCGAGAAATTTGAGGCCAAAGTTATTAGTACATGTTGTCACAACAACAAATTGCAGATATCCTTACTAAAGCTCCCCAAAGACTGGCATGTTAAATTCTATGCTCCAGCTTGAGGGGGTGTAGAAATATTCAATATCCTTAGAGATACTCAATATCCTTAGAGATACTCGATATCATTGTAAAATAGGAATTCGAGATTATGGGTAATTGTGGGAAAATGTAAAAATGTAAATGATTATGTATTTAATGTAGGAGTTACGGGAGCTGATTATAATCCCATAATATTAGTGATTGTAGGCAATCCCGTAAAATCAGGGATTGTATATAATAGTTTCCTTTTCTTTCTTTTGCCTTGTGTATTTCTATTGTATGCCTCTCTATCAAGAATGAATAAGAAACACAATTTATATTGTATGCCTCTCTGTCAAGAATGAATAAGAAACACAACAAAATTCCTAAATCTGTTATGGTATCAGAGCTACAGAAGCTTGGGAAGCCCTTTTAGCCTTCATAAACTTTCTTTGAAAATTTTGCAGGCCTTCTTTGCCTCCTTCCTTTGATTCCTTTTTGTGGCCTTCATTGCCAACAACTCCTAACCCAACAATTCCTAACCCAACAAGGAAGCTAAACAGTAACCGAATATGCCAATCAATTAAAATCATTGTGGCAAGAACTCGATCATTATAGGGTAATCAAGACCAATTGCTCTGAAGATGCGACAATACTCAAGGACTTCATTAAACAAGACAGAGTTTATGACTTTCTAGTAGGTTTAAACTCTGACTTTGATCAAG